CAATTTTGCCACGTGTTAAGTTTTCATCGTGCGCATCTTCCTTTATATAATAAGATACTTATAATTGTGAAATCAAAAATTCTATATATATCTCCAAAATGAGTTTAAGACTTGACTTATCGCAATTGCCTTTAATGAATCGATTTATTAACAATCTTGCCATCGAGTGATTTTTTTTTTTAATACTCAAACCAACCCAGCAATAATTTTAGTGTTAAATATTTTACGTGGCCCATTATTGAAAGTCGGTTGCAAAAAAATCCTAATGTCTGTTTTTTTCTTTTGCCAAAATTGTAAATATCATTAGATAATAAAAGTTAAATTACACAAAAAGCATAATCTATAGCCTATACTACCTTGCCAAAAAAAAAAACAAGGAAGTACAAAAGAAGGTTGTGTGAACCCAAAGGGACATTAGGCCATCCGTATCCATGAACTTTTGAGAGTATCATTAAATATAAAATTATTAAAAACACACTCTCTCTTCCTTTTACTTAACGTTATACCTTCTCTTTCATCCTTTTATTCAACTTTTATTAATTTTATATTTAAACACACCCCAACTAAAGTTTAAACTCTCTCCAAAAGTATCAACCCATTGATACAAAGACACTCTATCTCCAAAAGTATCAACTCATCTCCTCTTTTTACTCAAATATTATTAATTTTATATTTCAATACACCCCATTATTTCAACCAAAAACACTCTCTTTCTTCATTTTACTCAAATTTTAATAATTTTATATTTAATGATACCCACCAAAATTCACCAATACGGATGCCCTTAGATTGTTATATTCTTTCTTGTGTCTCCAAGCTGAAATTACGTTTTTTACCTCACGATCAAGACCTTTGAAAATGATTTGAGCCGGAATGGAGATGTCGTTATGTAGAACATTGTTCCTTTGCTTCCATAGCTGAAATAATATACAAACTCTTTTTTTGCTACCCAATTAATATATTTAACATTGTTGTTTATATACTCGAACTTTCAAAATGTTTGGTTTAATGAAAGTTTATAAACTCTTTTTATTTTTAATAAAAACATGATTGCTACACTAACAAATCTAATAACAAAATACGTGATTGATATAATAAACTCTGTTTATTACCAACTAACTTTTGTTATTGTAGCTATCAAGGTTTCATTAAAAATAAACAGATTCTATTAACTTCCGTTAAACATGTTAAAATCTTTAACAAAGATGTAGCAAAACCCAAACATTTTGAAAATTCGAGTATATAAACAAAAATGTTAAATAATATTATTGTGTATTAATCGGGTATAAAAAAAATTAAATTAAGTTTTGGAATTTTCGAAGAATTTGGACTTTTTCTGATGGGCTTGGTTTTGGCCCATTCTTCTTCTTGGCCTTGGGAGTATCTTGTTCTTCACTCCAAAACCAATCAACGGCGGCTGAGTTTGGATCGTCTTCTTAACCTCTCGATCGATCAATTTCTCCCAAGAAGCAAAGCAAAGCTTATCTTTTGTGCTTTTTCGATATTCAATCTTAATCCTATTCTGCTTCCGAGTCTCTCAGGTTTGTCTCGAATCTCAAAGTAATTTTAGGTCAAGATTGATTAGTCTAATTGGTTGGTTTGTTCCCTTTCTCTTCTTCGTAACGTTACCTTTCGATTAACCTTTAGGTTTGAATCGCTGCTGCAATCGAGTTTATCGACGAAAACCCTAATTTTTGAATCAGTCCTGAATTTGGAAAATTTCAAATTAGTTTGCTAAATAATATGATTATGTATGTTTGGTAGTTGATTGAAGGTAGGAACAAAAAAAGTCCTGAATTCTTGATGATTTTGATAGCTCATTGGTTGATTTCTAGTGTTAGGTAGGGGCTTAAATGGGTAAGAACAAGTCCGACGCCACCACGATGGCGAAGCCAAGTGGGAAATTATCAGTCTCAGCTATTGCAAGTATGGATCCATCATCTAGAGCTCCGAAAAAAGCTTCCTCTTATACTGATGGTATAGATCTTCCTCCTTCTGACGAAGACGATGAGGGCCATTCCGATGAGGAGGAACAGACAGACAGGAGAAAGGCCAAGAGTGAACAAAGGCTTCTTCTTGAGATCTCTGTGACTGATAAGGAACGAAAGAAGCGAGAGGCGAAAGAAAGATTAGCTAAAGAAGCTGCAGAGCATGCAAAGAGGGAGGCTTTAAGGGACGACCGTGATGCGTTCACTGTTGTTATCGGAAGCAAGATTGAAGGACAAGACACGGCGGCGGCGGATGCCAATGTTAAAGATATAACGATCGAGTCCTTTTCTGTATCTGTTCGAGGGAACGAGCTTCTGAATAATACTTGTGTTAAGATATCACATGGGAAACGGTATGGATTGGTTGGGCCGAATGGAAAGGGGAAGTCGACACTGTTAAAGCTTTTAGCGTGGAGGAAGATTCCAGTTCCCAAGAATATTGATCTTCTTCTTGTTGAGCAAGAAGTGGTCGCTGATGAAACGAGTGCCCTGAATGCAGTTGTTTCTGCCAATGAAGAATTGGTTAAGCTACGTCAAGAGGCTGAAGTTCTACAGAATTCGTCTTCTGATGATAGTGGAGAAAAGCTTGGTGAATTGTATGAGAGGCTACATATATTAGGGTCAGACGCTGCTGAAGCACAGGCTTCGAAGATTCTTGCTGGGTTAGGGTTTACGAAAGATATGCAAGTGCGTCCGACTAAGTCGTTCAGTGGTGGCTGGAGGATGCGAATATCGTTAGCTAGAGCTCTGTTTGTGCAACCTACTCTTTTGTTGTTAGATGAGCCTACCAACCATCTCGACCTGAGAGCTGTTTTATGGTTAGAGGAGTACTTGTGTCGCTGGAAGAAGACGTTGGTTGTTGTTTCACATGACCGGGATTTCCTCAACTCTGTCTGCACGGATATCATACATTTGCATGACCTGAAGCTACACTTCTACCGTGGTAATTTCGACAGTTTCAATGCTAGATATATACAGCGTCGCAATGAGATGAACAAAAAGTACGTGACTTTCAAGAAACAGATTAAAGCTCCAGATGAGGACACAGTAGCAGAAGCTCCAGGAAAGTGGAGCGACTATAGCGTGGCGTTCCATTTTCCACAACCAACCGAGCTCACTCCTCCTCTGTTGCAGTTGATTGAGGTGAGCTTCTCCTACCCCAACAGGCCAGATTTCAGGCTCTCAGATGTTGATGTAGGTATCGATATGGGTACACGGGTGGCTATAGTTGGACCTAACGGAGCTGGAAAATCCACTCTTTTGAATCTTCTTGCGGGAGATTTAGATCCGACAGAGGGAGAAGTGAGAAGAAGTCAGAAGCTTAGGATTGGAAGGTATTCTCAGCATTTTGTTGATTTGCTAACAATGGGGGAAACACCGGTTCAGTATCTTCTTCGGCTTCATCCTGACCAAGAGGGATGTAGCAAGCAAGAAGCCGTGCGTAAAAAGCTTGGAAAGTTTGGGCTATCAAGTGACGACCACTTATCTCCAATAGCGAAATTGTCTGGAGGACAAAAGGCTAGGGTTGTGTTTACGTCGATATCAATGTCGAAGCCACACATTTTGCTTCTCGACGAGCCAACAAATCACTTAGACATGCAGAGTATAGATGCGCTGGCCGATGCCCTAGCTGAATTCACAGGAGGAATTGTGTTGGTGAGTCACGACTCGAGACTCATCTCCCGTGTCTGTGAGGAAGAGGAGAATAGTCAAATTTGGGTTGTAGAAGACGGAACTGTGTCTTTCTTCGATGGCTCATTTGAAGAGTACAAAGAAGATCTCCAAAGAGAAATCAGAGCAGAGGTTGATGAGTGAAGTTCTCTTGTTGGTTTTTAAGGTAAACTCAAACAAACTCCTTTATAACACACTCAGAACAGTTTTGAACAATTTTCATTTTTGTGTTTTTTTTATGGA